AATTAAATGAAAAAACACTAGCTTCTTTGACATAAGGCGGGAGACTAATACAATTAATTAAAACATTGATGATTTCTCACCCTAAGGGAAACTGGTACACTTTTTAAACCAATTAATTAAAGGCTTGAGTGTTAAAAATTAATGAACATGTGTTTTAATCAATTGCTAGAATATTTTAGAAGAACAAAACACTCAGATTAGTCCATGAATATTCTAGAAAGTTAATTAAACATGCACACAAAAAAGTAAGGGAACGTTCCAAAATAATTAAGGGTAAAAGTGGAAAACAGTAAGATAAGAAATTTCTTGAATATGGACCTAAAAGCTCTATAAGTTGAAGCCCCATACCCAATTTTGGTGACTTTTCTAACCCATTACTTGGTGGAGATTCATTTCCACCCTCTTCCCTATCCTCCTTCTCCTTCCAGCAAATTACAGTGGCCTAATCCCTCGCTGAAGGGTATGCAGCGAGGGTTTGACCAGCTCCTCTTTTCCATTCTTCTCCCCTTTCCATTTCAGCCACCTCCTAAGTAGACTTTTAGTGCAAAGGCCACCATCGCCATCGCCATACATAAAGAATCTCTGCTTTGGTTTTTATCTTTAGAAGGGGTGGCTAAAAGAATTCAGGTTCAGGTTTCATATTTAAAAAATTGCAAGAGAACACAAGCATGGAAATCAGATTTCAAGAAATAAGTTCATGGTGTATAGGGCTTCTTAAATTAGAACTAAAGTTTTAGATCTAGAAATGGGGGAAAGTTTTGGCAATTTTGAAAATTCTGATTCAAATTTCATATCCAACAAAAACAATATTTGGTTCACATAACGATTCATTAGTAAGCTAACTTCTTTCTCCCTCATTTGGGTTTACATGCATATGGACAACGAACTTCCTTGATGGCATGATGTCATTTATATTGAATTCTTTCTTGATACTCCAATTATAAAATTTCAGATCTACATCCTTTCCTTTTTTTGTTTATATACGAGCTCATTAGATTGCTGGATTTTCTCTCTAATTTTGTAATTTCTTTTACTATCAAACATTTGTTGATGAAGTGTTTGATCCACTACCTCTTATAGATTTTTTGCTCTTATCTCATTAATTTATCAAGACAAGTTCTTTCTTTTGCCAAATTGCTTAACACCCATTGATTCCATTATTGTTGTTTAATAATGCCTTGATTAGGTGAAGTCTTTAAGTCACTTGTCTAGTTTCTTCATCCCTTGTTTTGTATACATAACCACAGTACAAGAAAATAAAGATGCAGCATGTGTCACCTTTAAACCACAAGTGTCACCTTTTATTGTGATAGAAGCTTGTCCTAACTCTAATCTCATTGCAGTTTCTTTGTTTACTTTTGACAAACCATGGAGGTTTGCAATGACAAAAGGAAAAACTCAATGTAGAATACAAGTTGCAATGAGATTTTGATAGAATGAAAGTAGAGTTACCAAAAAACTTCCTTATTTTCAAATATAATAAATATGAGAGATTTTACATATTTATAGATGATGGGGAGATCGGTTGGTTGAGATCTTGAATCTTGTACAGTTGTCTTGCCAAATCAGCATGTTTTAGTTTTAACCGCCTTACTACCATGTGTCCTCTCTAACAACTTTCATAATGACATGTTCTTAAAAGTAGTATGTTTAACTTACTTTTCTATGAGATAATGTTTACATTATATTTAATGATGTGAATCATAGTTGACCTAATTGAAACCATGAATGAAAGAAAGACATAGTAAAAAATAAGAGAACCAATGAGTAAACTAATAAATAAGAAAATAAGAAAGACAAACGAGTAGCTCTAGCCCAATCCACAACTACAACACGTAGTTCTAGCCTAGTTCGTGCCTGCGGCCTTCCTTCTAACCCAACTTTCGAAAAATAGTAAAACCCCCAATTGAACCCAAACCCTCTAAAAACACATTATTTTAATGAAAAAGTTGTCAAAAACAAATAAGGACTCAAATGGAACTAAAATGGATAATATACATGACTTATTATAAAAGAAAAATTCTTAAAGAAACCCATTTAAAGGTCAAAAAGGCGGGTTTGGGGCCTGAAAATGCAAATAAATCTAAAAGAATGGTTTGTGAACACATAGTGATGATCTGATTGCTATAACATATTAAACGTAAAAAAATGGATACCCAGATAAAAAGTTATGAATGTTTGGAGCTTTTCCCTTTACTCAGCCTTATAGTGAGCCCAACCTTAGCCCATTGTAGCCCTTGGTCTGCGGCCTTGCCCCCACCTATTCTAGTTCTTAGCCTTCGCCTATGCTTGCGCTCACCAACATGCGCTAGCCTAGTCGCCCACGCCAACACCCACCCCCACATGCTCGACCATGGCTCAACCAATTCACCTTAGCCTGTCTCCATAACCTTGGCTTTGCATGTTCTTACTAGCTTACTGTGATGCCCTAGTCTATCCTCAACTAACTCAATTCAGCCCATGGCTTGCTTGTGGGCTTCAAGAAGGTCATGGCTAGATCAAAGGGAAGGACTTGTTACCTATTTTTAAGAGGAAATGGGCACTCATTTCAGTTGTGAAAAAAATATTTTGTTTTTGAAATAGTTACACCATTTTTCCATAAGGAAGGCAATTAACCAAGAGATTTTGGATTCAAATGGATTGGAAGAGAGAAGGTGTTAGGGATTCCTCTCTTCAAGTTATTGTACCTGTCCAATTTGAGAGTTCTTTAGGCTTAATTTCCAATAAAAAACAAAATAAAGATTGCTAAAGATTCATAAAATGTTTGAGGAGATCTCTAATATAATATATTCATCATATTAAACATAAATAATTGCAATAAATAAGAGGCATTTTATAGAAATAAAATAGAAAAATAAACCAACTTGAAAAGAAAATTATTCTTGCATCTAATGGTTGTAAATGGTCCAAACGATTGCAAATTGGGTAAACTTAACTTAACCTGAATTGACCTAACTTGCAATATTTGCATAAATTCATGCAAATACAATTATACGCATGCATTTATGTTAGATTTTATCATGGGGTTGATTAGAAAATCCAAGTTTGAGTCCATAATGCAGATTGGGCCCAAGTTAAATAAATCAAATTTGATTGTGCTCTTAAGCCTTGGGCCAAATGTATAATGTAAGTACATAGAATTAGACACTGCACTACTTACAATGTAGGATCCACCATAAGACTACACATGCGACAATGCTACAAATGTATTTGGATCCTATGATGGTGTACCATGTTACAATCTCCCATCGCATTCTCATGGCAGCACAACCTTCCTCTCTAGTGTTCGACTATCCATTGCTAGTCCTTTTAGTTAGTTTCTCAGTACATCCATTGCAGGCATATTGTCATTGTCTCTCATCACATTCCCTTAAAACACCCCACATTATGATGGTTCCACTGGTCCAACCGCCCAGGTTCATGATGGGCTGAAAAGTCAAAACTTTGCTTTTGGCAGTAATAGAAGGGCAAAGTGGTAAAATTCATATTTTGTTTCGTTCCATCAACGAAAGGGATGCAGCTAAAATGTGTCACTAGGGATGGCAATTTCTACCCTACCTGATGGGTACTTGCCTCGGTGAGGCGGTTTTTTCTTTTGCTTGAAGGATGGGTTTTGGGATTCTACAATCCACACRGGTTTAAGTAGGGTACGGTATTAAACTAAACCCCCTCTCCAACMTGCATTTTGTTCAAAAAGCATATAAACCTATTAGGTGCTGAATTTAATAATATTTTGAATTTTATGTGAAGGATAATATTGATAGTTTATATATTTTTTATMTGTTTTAATTAAATAATTGAAAATTTTGTTGTTTGTGTTATTTTATTTATTTATTGTTTATAAAACACGAATAATAGGAAATTAGATGCAGGTTCTAAACCCAACTCGTCTTACCCTTGAATATAGAAAGAATAGGGTTGATGAGGGTTTTGCATTTTCATGTATGGCAAGAATTTGGATTGTCAAAATCCAACCCGCTATAGGTTTTGGGACGGAGACAAGTCGGGAGGTTTAAGGAGACAGGTATAGAGAATTTATGAAACCCTTTCCTAACCCGCCCCATTCCCATTCCTATGTGTCACATCTAGACCTATTCACGGGTTGGGTAGTTTGACGGGCTGGCTCAGCCCAACCTGTCCTAAATTGGGTTTGAACAAAAGTTTAGGCCCATGGGCTTGGGCTCTGGCTCTAAAAATCGGGCCCGACTATTTTTTGGGCCAAGTTCGGGCTTTCCAAAATAAGCCCAACCTAAGCTCGACCTGGTAATATTAAATATATAATAGAAATATAATATATATGTTAATAATACATAATATATATTATATAATAATAAAATTACTAGCAAAAAAGAGTATTGAAAAGTAAGGACAAGCCCAATGCAGATTTCTGATTTACACTATAGAGCTCTAAACATTCAAAGTGTCAACAACCCACACTTTATGCACCAATGCCCACCCGTGAATTGGCATCAATTCCAAGCTGGCACCTATCCCAACTGTACTTTGGGCTTACAAATTCTGACCGTGGGCTGAAATGTCTTTCTCCCAAAAAAGTATTATATATATTAAATGTATAAAATATTATTTTATTTCGCTTCATGGGGCTACACAACAGGGGTAGCCCATCCCCTTTCCCTTAACCCCCCCAACCCCTCCCTGGTGGTAGCGGGATTTGATAATATATTATATATTATAACATATTATATATTATATAAAATATTATATAATATATAATATATTATTAATAATATATAATTAATATGTTATAAAAATACCTATCAAAGTCGAGCTTTGGGCTTTATATAGGGCTTGGGCTCAAAATCTAGGCCCAATGGTCGGGCCGGGTTCAGGCTCGGGCCTAGTAATTTTCTGCTTAAAAAAGGTAAAGCCCGACCCGGCCCGGCCCGGCCCATGAACAGGTCCTACTCAAATCCCAAATACGGGACTGACTTGTAATATCAGTAAAGCAGGAGGTGTTTCAAAATCAAAGGGGTTCGACTTCGGAGCCCACTGGGCTGCGTACTGTCCACTGGGGCTACGCACTCTCCAACCTCTCTTGATCGAGTACAAAAAACTACTCCTAGCCGCTGCTTTCCTATATTGCAGTATCGTACCTCCAATCATTTACATACAATTGCCATAAACCCTAGATCTTGTTAGCCCTCCAACCTCTGGAGCTTCTGTCTCTCTGCAGCAGAAGCTGCATATCTTTTTCGTCCTCTCTATTGCCGAAGTATTCTTCTCCTACTATGAGATGCTAATCAATAAGTAAAAGCTCTTTTAATCCTGATTGATTCCGATTTTCGATTGAATTGGGCTTCTGATAGGTTGGTCGGTTGCGATCTTTAATCAATCGATACAATGGCGGCCGGGCAGGTCGTCATGAATGCTAAATACAAGAAGACCTCGCCCAAAGAACCAGGGATTCCAGGAATACTCAGAATGGTAATGCTTTTGAAGTTTTTAAGATTTTTAATCGAGCGTTTATATGCGTGATTAGCATCAATTTATTGAGATACATGGATTAATATGCTGTTCAAACAATTACAATATCAATTTTTGGTGTCCTCTCAATTAATTTCAATATTTTTTAATAGTTTTAAGTGTTGATTCACTCTCTCTCTCTCTCTATGAGATTGGTTTGGCTGAATTGCTCTCTGTGAATTGTTCCATTTATTCTCTAAGTAAAGGAATTAGCAAAGTACATTGGAAGCCGAAATTCTCAAAATACCATGCTGAGGATATCTGAACGATATTGTTATGGATATTTTCTTGAACAAGGACATTGTAATTCTTATATCCTCTTTATGTTGTCAACACCTTAATTTTTTTTTTCATTATGCAGACTGAGGACAAGTTTGTATTCACTCCTAATGAACCCATGTCATCTGGAAAGCTCAGTGTCAGTTTTGGATCCATTAAAGGTACTTCCTCTTTCTGAAGTTGTTTCCCCTGTTGCAACACCTTGGATTATCCTTGAAAGGTTGTATCATGAAATGCTCATCAATGAAGAAAGTAGCTTGACTGATAGTTCTGTTAATTACCTCAAAGGGAGTTGGAAATGCTTCCCCCTTTTGTTTATGTTACTCAAAGATGAATCATAAATCATGCTGCATATTGTAGTTGACCACTTTAATGCTTGTCTTGATTTCCTGTCAACTCACTATTGTACTTCTCTAAGCATGAATTAATAAGAGTGGGCATTTGAAGAAACTGTTACTGACAACCGATAACAAAGGGACTTGTGGAATCTTGGAAACAAGATAGCTAGCGGCAAAAAGTACCCAATGCAATAGGGCCTCTGATCATTGGGATTTGAGGCACTAGTCACTTGATCAAAAAGCCTGAAGAAAACATACATATTTAGGCAAAAAAAATGAAAACATGTGAATAGATGCTGCACTTTCCTTAACAAAAAACCTTGGACAAAAAACAAGAAAAACCATCTCCTCTAAAAATAGCGAATAGAGGATATGGAGGAGAGGTTCATTTGTGCTGCTCGCTGGAGAAGATTGTTGAAGATAGAAGCAAATAACTTTGTGCTTGAGAGCTACAGAACTAGAAGGAATATAGTTCTGAAGGTCAGGGAAACAATATGGCGATGGTATTGTTAGTAGGTAAGAAGGTGATTGAATGGCTTATGCTGTTTATGGAAGGAGCTCTGCAGTTGGGCAGAAACTCTGTGTTTAAGGATTCAAAGGTAGTGGAGGAAAGAAACTACAACATGGAAAGAAAGGAAAATATTAAAGGCAGGTATATAACTCTGTATGAACATTTTGGTCAAGGAAAGAAACAGGTGGCTTGCTTTCCAGAAGGAAGAAGAGGGGAAGGTTGGAAGGAGATCCTTAGGGCATTGCAGGAGTTTTGAAGCGGGACGAGAAGAAGGCAGTGGAAGATAAAAGCTTAGAAGAAAGGAAGACTAATGAACTGAAGAAAAAGGAAGGTGGTGATAAAATACAGGTTATGACAGGGAAAGGAGGTCTGTTCAGAATTATAGCAAACTGGGAGAGAGGAGGTTGGCAGAAGAAACTAGTTGTTCAGACAAAAAACAGCCACAAGACTGGAAGAAAATGGAAGAAACAATAATTAAGGGATTACAGCTTAAGGGGGCAGTAATCATAACTCCTTTTGAGAAACAGAAGGCGCTGCTTGAATTAGTAGAAGATGTGGCAGAAATAGATGCAAAGGAGTTTGTGGATGAATCTGGCGGATTTACAGTGGCAAGATGGAGCCCATTATCTAATGAAATAAGCTTTGCTATAGAAGATAGTGTCATTGTTTGTATTCTTAGACTCCCCTTCCATCTATGGAAGGAAGAAATCTTTTAGTCAATTGCTTCACTGTGTAGTGCCAAGTTAGATAGCATCCTTGCAATTGATCTAAACTCGGCAGCTATTTGCTTGAGCGGGGTTAGACCTGAGGAAATTCCAAGAAGAATACTAGTTGCAGATGATCAGATGGTGTCTCCAGTCTGGTTGACAACTGCCATTGAAGCTGCAATGTGGAGAGCGGTTAGAAGGAAGACAAAAGGTTTGAAGAAGACTTCTTATGTGGCAGGAGTCAAATGGCGGAAGTGAAGTTAAATGGAAATTATACTGAAATGGCAAAGTAACTTCTTGGAAGAGAAGAAGGTGAGCTTACAAGGGAAGAAATGTATAAGCCAAGGAAAGAAGGGGATGGGACGTGAGGCTGCTCTTATGTTCAGGCGTTGACTGGTGGACCTTGGCATGTGCAGCAGGCCCAAGTTCAAAATTTAAACGAGGGTGTGGGTCATCGGTAGTTCAACCTTGAACTGGACCGAATTAGTTGATTCAAGTAAACTAAACCTATCACATGGCGCTTTAAGTGATCACATTAAATAACTTTGGGCTTGGGTCTACTTCTTTAAAGCCCACAAGGAAAAAACCCTGAACCTGAAGTCAGGCCCATCTATTGGGCCTCAATTGGCCTCAACACATGGCTGTTTTAAAGAGCATGTGACACTTAAGGGAGGCCTGATGATGGACAATAACTTTTTTCCATCATCTTCCTCATTGCTCAAAACAGAGTCCTTTGGAGGCCGAAGTGAGAAATTGAAGCGTCATTCTTTGATGATATGGGTACAGAGTAAAGGGAAGATTGGTGTTTCTCCTGAAAAGCACAACCCAAGATTTAACAGATGTAGCAGCAAAGGAAAGGAGAAAATTCAAGACTTGAGTCAGATTTTGATGATAATGGCAGTGGTTGCGATTTAGATTCTTTTGAATACTCAAGCATGGGAAGTATCGATCAAATTGTGAGGTTTGGTATGAATGAAGCGGAAAGTTTCTACACAGAAGAGCTATTTCTGGAAGAAAAAGAAGAGAATATGCATTTTAAAAATGAAGCAAGGGAAATGGGCAGGCAGTACACTTAGCTGAAGTTGAGCAGGTTACCCTCTCCCCTGACATTGAGAATTTACCTTCAAATTCTCAGCCTATACAGGAACTCAGGAAGCACTGGAAGACAAGTGGAAACCTTGAAGGTTTGCATTGAGGCAATAGAGAAGGGTGTACCAGTAAAGGTTGTTAGAGTAGACAAAGACATTAATGTCCCCATTATCATTTTACAGCAGCCTAGGTGTTAGGCCTGATGTGTTGACTTTCCAATTGTGGGTTCTCTGGACCCCTTGCACACGTTCCACCTTCGTCAAATCTAGGTATGTGTGTTCCTTCAGTTATGATTGTTGATATTTGTGCTTTGCCTGAAACAGGTACACCAGCCACCCAACCCGAAGGATTGAGGGGGGAGGGTGAAGGTGTGACAGTAAATTTAAAAGTGTGGGAGGTAGAAGAAAGGGAGGGGTGAAAGAAGTAGAGAGGATTTGGCATTTAATTAGTGAACTCCTGGAGGGGACCTCAAAGGAAATGAATTAACACCTGAGGAGGGTACTAAAGATTCCTGTATGGAAGGAAAGATGGATAAGAAGGAAAAGGAGAAAGTTAAGGTCAACCCAACTATAGGGACACACAAAGTCAAGGGGCTCTGAAGGTGATTAGAAGGGGAAAATGTACTCCAGGAAGAGTGAAGAAAAATAGAAAAAGAGGAAGAAGAAAAAAGATAGAAGTGTAGAGATTAGTTTCTGATGTAGAGGGCGATATTGAATTTAGTGGGAGGGGAGGTAGAAGGAAACAAACTAAGTAGGGAGTGGAGTAGAGGAAGAGGGTTTCACTAAATGGTGAAAGAATGAAAATAACCAGTTGGAACATAAGAGGATTGGGGAGTGCAAAAAAAAGGAGAGTAATAAAAGATATATTAAAAAGAGAGTCCTGATGTTGTGATGTTGCAAGAGACTAAATTAGCAGAGTTGGATAGAAGATGGATTAGGAGCTTGTGGAAATTGAGGGGTATAAGATGGATTGGGGCTCCATCTTGGGGGGCTTCAAGGGGTATAATGACACTATGGAAGGATGAAGTGCTGGAATCAATATAGGAGCTAATTGGTAGATATACTGTTTCGGTAAAGTTCAAGAATGTGGAGGATGGATTTACTTGGGTATTAACTAATGTTATTGACCAAATAATTATAGAGAGAAGAATGGTATGTGTGAGAAATTGTATGCAATATGGGGTTTGTGGGAAGGTGCTTGATTTTCGAGTGGGGATTTCAATGTGATAAGATTCTCTAATGAAACTTCCAACCCTCAAAAATCAATCACAACTAGTATGAGAAAATTTAATGAATTCATAGATGTGTGAATTGAAGGAGGTTCCCTTGTTGCAAACTAGATTTACTTGTCCAACTTTCAAGAAAATCCTTTGTGTTTGAAGCTGGACGGATTTTTGTTTAACGTAGGTTGGGAGAATCATTGGGACGGTTTTGTGCCTAGAGCATTGCCTAGAGCCACTTTGGATCACCATCCCATTAGATTAGGCTCATTTCTTCTTTTTTTTTTGGTGTGGTCCTACACCCTTCAAATTTGAAAATATGTGGTTGACACTTGACACATCTAGATTTTGTTTGCAAAGTGGAATATTGGTGGAAAGGAATCAAATTCCATAAGGAATTGCAAATGTTGAGTATTGAGTATTCATAAAAAATGCAAAGATTGAGATCTAAAATAAAGGTGTGGAATAGAGAACATTTTGGAAGGCTAGAAGAAAAGGAGATTGCTCTTGATTGAAGAACCAGATGAGGTGGAAATTGAGAGAAACCTTAATGTGGAAGAAAGGGAATTGAAATGGTTAAGAAAGGAACTAGAGGAAGCCCTTACTAGGGAGGAAATCAGCTAGAGAAAAAAGTCAAGACATAGATGGATCAAGGAAGGGGATGGGAATGCAAAATTCTTTTTTGCGATGGATAATGGTAGAAGGCATAAGAGCTTTGTGGTTAGATTGGAGACAAATGGAGAAGTGACCTCTAACTAGGATGAGATAGCTAAAATCTTTGTGGATCATTTCAAATCCTTTTTAGAAGACCCTTGGATGAAAGAACGAGGTGAGAAGGATTAGAGTGGCCATTACTAAAAGAGGAAGCAACAAGGTGGCTAAAAAGGGATTTTGAGGAAGAGAAAATAAAAAGGGCATTTTTTTCTACGGGTAGATCTAAAGCACCGGGTCTGGATGGTTTTGCAATGGCTTTCTATCAGGATTGTTGGGGAGTGCTGAAAGATGAATTATTTGAAGCCTTTAAGGAATTCTTGAACACATACCATAAGCCATGGAGTTAACACAACTTTCTTGGTTTTAATTCCAAAAAAACTTGATGCCAGCCAACCTAAGGATTTTTGACCCATTAGTTTGGTGACCAATATCTAGAAAATAATTGCTATGGTCCTATGATTAGAAAAAATCATGAGGAGTTTCCTTTGGGAGCCGGGAGAGTCAAGAAAAGACCACTTAGTCAATGGGAGATTGTGTGCAAAATTAAGGCTTTTTGCTAAGAAGTTTGTGTCAGCCGATTCCC